ACATATTAATAATTAGATTATTCTGGGTATGTTGTAACTGTGCAAACATGTCTGACAAATGTACAGCTGTATTGAGTCAGTCTTTTTCACTAATTGACACATACATAGTACATTTATTGTGACATGCAATCATTTGGCAATTTGATTTGTTCTCTTAATTTTATAACTTAGCAGCAGATTCAAAGAAATACTTATTTTTTGTTATAGACATCATATTTCCAGCAGTAAGTTCATAACACAAAATAGTTTAAGCTGTTGTTGGAAGCTAAGTTGCTTGGGGCAAACTGTCAATCAAAATTGGAACATTGTGATACATTTTTGCAAAGTTCTGTGCAAAAGACCATCTAGTTTAACTGTGACATGACAGACATTGCATTGTCTATCGACAGGGAAAAGTGGAAATTGAAAATGAAGTTGCAGAGAAGGAGGTCCCAAATGAAGAGAGATTCAATGGGCTTACAAAGGTATTTCATCACAGGAGGGGGGGGACAATGCCAAAAAACACTGTTTGAGCAGTACTATCTGTAAATAAAAGTCCTCCCGTAAATTGAGAACATTGTCCCAGAAGGTTTTGAGACATTCTCACAAAATCTCAAAGTTCATGAAACTTTAGTTACACTGCTTTGTGTCTCCTGGAAATTTTCTTGAGTCTCCCAGTTCCGGGCAAAATCTTCAGATTCCTGGAAGAATTTTGTTTTTCTCCCAAAACAAGCCTCCTTAGAGCTGACACCCCCCTTATTTCTTCACTTCAAGATGCACATGTTAACCACATTGATGCATGTATGTTAAATGACTTCTTTACCTTAAATGACATTAACTGCTTCCATTCACACCTAAAAAACGTATATTACAGGTACATGTATCTTACAAAAGAGATGATATTTGGAAATTTGTTTCAGTAGTCATTCAGCTTTCTTGTCTTAAAAATCTGTGAATCTGATTGATTGGCCCACTGTATTTCTTTTGCTGATAGCACACAATTTTTCCCAAGTTGCTTCTATGGAGAAAGTATTCGTGATTTTTGGCTCAATTGCATAACTCTGTTGGTTTTGACTGCAATCTTTAGAGTGTCTATTACAACAGACTCTACATGTATGTTCAAAACTCAGACTTGTAGTGTCATTGTTAATTACAGTTTATATTGCTCTTTTAGGAGGCACTGGTCAAGTTAATAGAGGATACTACTGATGCTAAGTCAGCTGTGGAGGCACTAGCAAGGCAGCTTTACTCAAGTGAGGAACTGCAGAATTCGTCAGTCACTGGTTTTCAGTGCAACAAAGATTACACAGCAAGGCCAGGCCTGAGTCCATCAAGGCGCAGCATTTTAGAAAGTGAGTTAATTTTTAAAGATGTATTTCTTTAATTATCTCTATACCCCTATATGTGCAAACTGTCCTAAATACAGAACAGATCTCCTGGTCTATCAAGCATTTGGTCTCCCTGATAAAAGCAGCATCTTTTGCTGGCAATTGGCTTATAGTTGACCCAACATCTTCGCAAAATTCAAAACATTTTAAACTGCTTAAGTAGAATATGTGGTTTTGTGTCACAGGTCTTGGCTGCATTTCCTTGACTTTTGTTAACAAATAAAAGCAATAGACATAAACAGAAACTGAAAGAAAAGTTCTCATTGCTATGGCCATATGTTGTCAAAATGCTGCAAATACATATTGTCGTACTACATACTGTCCAATGGTCAACATTTCCCACTACAATTACATTTGCACTTCAAGTAACATAGGCAAACGAGCTTACATGTTTGTGTTTACAGCCTTTTTGTTCCTCAATTAAAGATTCATTTGGGAGGGTGCAATTAATAGATTGCGCCATCTGTTGCATGGAATGGAGTGCAACATTGTACAAAGAGAGCAATTGCAGACTCCCAAATGAATCACCAGATAATCTGAATTGGGTGGCGACAATGTTGGACAATGCACACATGTAAGCTGACTACATCTATTTACTGGTTTAAATTCTGCAATTAAAATTCAGTAATTAACATGTGATCAAAAATAAAGTTCTTTCAGCAAGTCAGAGTTCCTGTTTATAATTTGTGTTTTGCACTATACAGTTTCAAATGTAAGATGCTTTTTACTTAAACTGCTTTCATTTGCTTTTTCCTTTTTACAGGTATTGTGTTAAGGAAAGGATTTCCTGCAGTTACAAGGTCATCTGTGAGAAAGGACCTTGGCCTGGGCCTCAAGAAGGCCAGGGCAAATAAAGAAAACAAGGCCAAATGTAGAGGACAAGAACAGAGAAAGCTATGAGGAAGATTTTATTGTCCCTGTTTTTTTTAATCAAAAAAGACAAGATTTTTTTAAATTCTTCAGTTTCAGTTCAGGATAGTCATAGAGACACAGAAAATATTTTACTATGTAACATATATTTTGGATAATTTGTTTTTCCTGTTAAGAATTTCAAACATTTATTGCTGGCAAAAACATGATTCTTTTTTCTGTTGGGCATGTGAATGCTACCAACAAAAAACCTGTTGAGATTTACTGGCTTAGCTTTGTTGTATACATCTAATAAATTTTTTGAAATGGTTGAATGCCAAGTAAAAATTATTAACAGTCATTAGAGTGAACCATCATGAAGTAAACACCTGAAAAAGCTGGAATAAATGCTGAAAAAATCTTGAAAATCTGGAATATGCTAGAAAAAGCTGGAAATTGATACATTATTTAATCACTGCTTCCTTTATGGAGTATGCAAGAATTTCCTAGAAAATTCTAGAAATCTACATTTTGTAATAAGCTGGAAAAAACTGGAAAAAAAGCTGATTTTATCCTTGTAAAGTGATTTCTGGAATAAGCTGGCAAATTCTGGCTGACTCTACCCTAATTAGCATGTTTCGTTAACATTCTAGAATCTTCTAGAATTTTCCAGAAAAGAAAACTGGTAAATTCTAGAAATTTCCAGAAATATTTTCTGTCATATTTCTAGAAAATTTCTAGAAATAACCAGAATATTCCAGTCTTATTTTGCAAGGGAAGCCTTCAGGGACAACTGGTTTCACTCTACATACAATCTGAATATCTCCAAAGAAGACGTTACTGATCTGTTGAACGTGTCCACCAAGGGTCAGTTGTTCCAGTTCAATGGTGCCCTATACGAACAAACCGACGGACTGGCCACGGAGTTCCCACTCGGGCCTTTACTAGCTAACGTGTTTATGTCATCGTTGGAAGAAAGGCTAGTGCTCGAAGGTAAACTGCCTGATTATTATCGCAGATATGTTGATGACACTCTCACTATAATGCCCAACATTACTACAGCTACGGATTTCCTACACACCCTGAACCACGCCCATCCCTCTGTCAGCTTTACAATGGAAATCGAAAAAGATGGCATGCTCCCCTTTCTTGGCACCCAGCTCCTAAACCGTGCACCCCAAATTGAGACGAAAGTTTATGTCAAGCCTACTAATACTGGTTTACTTGTCCACTACCAGAGTTACGTTGACAACCGGTACAAACGGAACTTATTAACAACTATGCTCGATCGCGCGTACCGNCGAAAAAAAAAAAGATTATCAATCAAATATGATTTACGCAAATATCTTGCGCAAGATTTACCAGAGTCAGTAAAACTAGCCTTTCCGAAACAACACGCTATAGCGCTAAATTCGTGTTAGGCCTCCAGCTGACGGTGTATGCGTCGTAAGTGAAGGAGCGGTACACAAAACATGCACGTTTTAACTCGCTAATCGGTAGAAAAAGTTCCCTGACGACCTTTCAAATCCAGACAGATCATAGCGATAAAATCCTCACAAAGGACATGAGCCATTACACTGAATAGATGATCTTACAACTCTTGTAGATGTCATCTTAACTTGTTCCTTGAGCGAAATTCAAAATTGGAATCGCTGATTAACTCGTATATAGCAATGAAATATCCTGAAGTTGCTCCTATCAACATCTGAAGTAACATTTGATTGAAAATTTTTCTCATGTTCCACTCAGTCTCCTTCAGAAGGAAGAATAAGCATGGTCGTACAACGATCACAACTTCACCACTTTCCCAACACAACTGATACATTTCCTTAATTTGCCACCCGTTCTCTCCGACTCAAGCATTGATTCGCTGAAATTTGAAGACCTGTCAAACCACAAATTAGCAAGAACGATCTGATCGGTGCGACATCGAAAAATACTACAATCTGATTGGTTTGTGATACACCAAAAAATTGGGCCAATCACATTGCGTTGAGATACACCAAAAAAAAAATGCGCCAATCAGATTGCTTAGAGATACACCAAATTGCGCTGATCAGATTACACTACACCACAATACACCAATCTACACGCTAACATATAGTTTTTTTTTTTTTTTTTTGAAAAATAACTCAAAAACCCTGCTCTTGGTACATAGATAATTATTGTTTTCAACATGTGATATTTCTCTACAAGTATAAGTTGAATTAGCAGAAGAAAACACCTCAACCTCTTTGTCAGATCAACATACTGTATTTCTAGAATGAGTGCCCTAGCTCTGATAAGGTCAAACAAGTCCCCCTCCTGAATAAGCACCACTCCCTCCTCCCTTTCCAAAATTGTAGGCATACAAGGAAAACCTGTTTCTCTGGCCACTTCACCCATACTTTTCTAAGCTTTAACTACCACAGATAAATTACAGGTTAATAGCTTCTTAATAAGCACTCCCCTCTACAAGCTTAAGAGCCCCCCATCCAATAGGCACCCCTCCTTTTAGCCAAAATTTTGAATAAGTATGCGGGTGCTTGTTCAAGGACATGAAGTGTATCAACTTCAGACATTGCAAAATATCAAAGTTTGTGAACCACAAAACTAATGAACAGTTATTATTGCTTTTACAGGGAATTATTCTGGCTCCTAAGCTGTGGTAAACCAAGACATACTGGCTTCTTTCTTTTTACAATCTACATGGGTTTTACATTCAGTATTCTGCTTGATCCAAACTCACCTTTCCTGCTCCCCATTCTTTGAAGCTTGCTGTGGAAATGCCTGGTTCAACCACAACTAATCCTGCAATTTTCTCTCCCCATTTTGATACCTGTTTGAAAAATGAATCAAAACAAATTATGTTATCAATGATTGGGTGATTCCTCCAAAAGTGTTACGATTTTCAGGTAGGACTTCAACCACATAAATGCCATTATTGTGGTATACTGTATATTGCCAGGTCCATAAGAGGAACATGACACAATTGGATTTGTGCTGTGCAGTAGAGTGTATTCTGGTACAATTTAAGGCATTACACTCACACTGAACTGTTTGCTACACATACTTTAACATTTTTGATGAATAGTGTTAATTCATGCAAATTTGTAGCATGTTTTCCAGATTCCAGATTTAATGGGTAAGTCTTGATCCGGAGGATAGCCCAGCAAGTTTGGTTAACACTCATCTGCTGGATAGCGATTTATCCCTTGGATAGCATTATCCACCCTGTGAACAACTGGGCCCAGGCTGGTAAACCTTGTAGGTACTGCAGTTATTTTTATCCAATACTTGATGTTTTCTTGGGTGAGAAACTCTCTTACTGTGACAGAGTCTTGCTCTACTCAGGAGTATAAATAGTTGCAAATAAACTGTCAGGGAAGCATGACAAAATTAATACTGGGGAGTAACTTGTCTCTTCTCTCTTCTCCATGCTACAGACTGGATGGGCCACTTGGCTTGAAAGCAGACACTTTCTTAACATGTACACCACTGGTTTGAGAATTCACAGTTACTGATTGCATGTTACTGTGATATTTGGTTTTATAACATACAACAACATGGGTGTAAGTCCTACATAATTCTGAAGATGGATGTGAAACTGTGAAAAAGTAATGACTAGTTTGTACAGCACATGCTCTGATCCACTGCACCACCATGGATCTTATCAAGAAACAAATGCTGTTTGATATTCGGGTGGTATCGTACATGAGTTTAGAGCTACACCAATTTCACCCCTTTCAAAAAACTTGTTATAAGCGAACACATCATTGTATCTATTGGGTCTAAAGAACAAGAAAAGTAACTTACTGCCAATTCTGTGAGAACATTTGCTCCAGCTCCAACTCCAAAACAAACTACATCACTCAAGCTGAAAAAGAGAAAAAATACCTCCACTAATCCAGTTGCTTTTAAGTGTTTGCATGAACAAACTTTTTTCAAAATGGAAAGAACAAACCAAATCTGTTCAAATTAAATATAGTATGGAGCCTTGCAGAGCTGAAAACCATGTTGGAAGTACAAGACAAGCTGGAATACATAAAGAGGACCAGTCCATTCCGGTTATTTCTATGATCAAAGAAAATGCTAGCATGGATGTACCATGTAGACAACTGTCACATCTTGATGTCTACTCAAGTCAAGAGTGCATGGTCCAATTCCCTAAATAAAGAGCCCAAAGCCCTTCTAATCTGAAAATGTCAAGCACCAATGACATTTTGCCATCTTGCACATCACACAATAACTTCTAAACAACCAAATGAATAGTCTTCCACTCACTTTACAGGAAAGACCCAGAGAAACAACAAACTTGCATCCTTAGTCAACAATGTTAGCAAAGGGATATTCACACTTTGGCAGGTTATGTAACTCATGTGCATTTGAATATTTTCCCAAAAGTTTTAACTGTAGTTAAAACGATAATGTATGGTTCCAGAAAACATCCATACCCCCCCTCATGGAGGGTTTTTCCAGCTTGACCCCCCACCCCATTGGATTTTCTGTTCCAGAGGGCTTCCCGTTACTCCCCCCACCCCCTGGAATTTCCATGATTTTTTCCACTTGGTTCCCCATACCCCTTGGAAATTCCAAATCCAAAAAAAGAGACTTACTTGAATTATTTTGATCTACTTAGAGCTGTAATAAAAATTTAATTCTCCTAAAAGTGACCGTGGAAATTCTAGACGTATTCACAGACGCGGTAAATGTTCAAATGAACAACTGAGCTTATTTAACACTTTAATGTCATGGCAGCTGACCTTTTTACTGTTCAATTGAAAGAAGTTTTCATTCAAAAATCCAAAAAAAGTACTGAAAGTTGACGATCTTTTAAGTGTATATCGTATACATTTTGTAACCGAGTCCAAGTTTGAATTTATGCATAGTAAAAACAACATCGTCGAATTACCTTGCACACACAAGAAACTATTTACTACATACTTATTTTTGCTGTCACAGCGAAACCGGGAAAATACCTCAATGCTAATCTCCGAGATATTTTTGTATGTTGCAGGTGAAATTCTATATACAGTAGAGTAGAACCGTCTGTTTATATTATTTTTTCGTGCCTCCTTACCATGGTCTGTTAATATCAACAAAGTATCACATAGCAATAAAATCACGCACTGTAAAATTATAATGAAAACTCCAACTGGTTATTTGTCACATATTTAAAACAAAATTTCAAGGGAACAAGAAGCCAAGCCAGTGAAATTAAAGAGCCAGTGAAAGTGCGTGAAGAGAGAAAACACGCACTTCCACTCGAACTCATTTCCACTCGACTCATCCTCAGTGTAAAAACCTGTCAAACTCATGGATGATGTAAAACAAAGAAAATAAAAGCACCAAGAGGCATTAAACAATAACCAAATCCCAGCACGAGCTAATGAAACAAAGAAAAAATATCACAGGTTTTTAAACAGAGGTAAACCCAATACATCTCAGGGGACTGGAAATGATATTTTTCAAGCCGGCCATTTTGTTTGACTTTGCGTCAAATGTACTGCTCAGTAGAGTCTCTCAGTGCTAATCTGTGTCGTCCAATGCCAGAATAATAGTGGAAAATAAATGAGAAGGAATCTTACGTTTGTTTCAACGGATAGAATTTTCAATTTTTCTTGGTTACCTTGAATCAATTGGAAAAGTAGGCAAGTGTTGTATTCGATCACATTTCAAACCCTCTGAAAAAAAAAAAAGCCCTTTATCTACCCCCTTCCCCTTCGGAAATTTGCCTCTTTCACACCCCTCTACCCCTTGGAATTTCCATGACCCTCTGTGGGGGGGGGGTATGGATATTTTCTGGAACCATACAATGCTTAGTTTGACATGGGAAAAAAATTGGCACTTGAAGGTCTTCTATGTCCTTAAATGAAGGTCACCAACAATGAAAAAGTTATTTTTAGAAATGGGTTTCACACACCACTACCAAATTTTCTAGAAGTTAAAAGATATGACCAGATGTTTAGTTCATTCAGAACCAAGCCAAGCTTTTGCTTTGTTTATGACGAACTTACAAACTTGGCAGATTTAAAACCTTGTATTACTTCACAACTAGATACTACTTACTAGACAAAAATTTTTAATTGCCCTTAGTCAAAATCCCCGGTCACTCACATTGGACATAGCAAGATCCATTCTGAACCTGTTGCTTCAGTTATTAACATTACACAAATCTCTTGCCTCAAGATGAGATATTTTCCTCAAAAACTGTAGGTCTTGTCAGAAAAGGAATTATGCTTAAACTTACTTGAAGTGGTCAATCACATTACCAACCATCTCTGCTAGTTTTGTTATGGATGGGTACTGATAACTGAAATTAAAAGAAAAAAATTTCAAAACCAGTTTGGGCAAGTAAATGCTCAGTAATTTCTCAGTGAAAATTATATTTTACCACAGCAATGTAGCAATCTGATTAGCCAATCTGCCATTGTCAATAAGAGTACAAATGCTGCTACTTCTGTCAACATGTCAGGCAATGCCATTACCAGCTCTCAAATATGAAAAACTTGGAAATTTTGACGTCAGTATTGTGGTAAAATACAAATCGACAATGATATTCCTCATCACAGTGATCAAAATTTGTTGCAGACTCACGTAGCTGCACCTTGCTAAACCACTGTAGATTTGTTAAGCAGCCATCTTCGATTTCTATGCCAGTAGAAAGCTGGGGCAAGAAAGAAATTTATACCAGCGATTTATGGCAGCTACACTCGTGAACTAGAAGATAGAGAGATTTCTAATCGAAAAGATTATGTTTTCATCCAAGATAGGCCATCTTCCTCATGCTCTTAGAGGATTATTTTCCTTGTCAAGCAGCAGTCATTGTTATTACACCAGACAATGCAATTCACTTTTACATACCTCCTAGCAGAACATGTGTCAAACAGATTTTATAACTAAAATTTTTCAATTCTTTGAATATAGAAATCCAAAATGTTGGCAGGGTTTCCCTGTTGAACTCTATATTGCCAATATTACTCCTAAGTTGACTTTCTTCTTATTCTTATTTTTTTTCTCACTATTCTCCCACTTTTCTCAGACTGCTTAAGTATATATTTGTACGAGTTCCTACTAGTGTAGTTGTTGTTTTATGTGTGTCTTCTTTCCTTTTTAACTGAAATTTTTTGTACCTTAATCATGCCAAATATCTAACATCTCACTTTTACAAAATATTAGGACCCTATAGCTTACATGAGCCTCCTGGTTTCTTTATGGGTTTCCTTGTCACATACTTAATTTTTAGTTATATTGTAGTATATTTATATGCAGTGCAGCTAGAAGATAAGGGGACAATGCAGATTAGTCTTATACACTCATCTGACACATCTACCCTTGTAAACAGACTAGTTTACAAATGCATCTACCATAATTTCCGGCCGTTTACCTGCACGGCCGATTATTACATGCAGCCAAAAAAAAAGTCAACAGATTACCCGCACTGGTGGATAACCCACACCTTAAAAACAAAGGAAATTTGTACAAATGTGCTCTACAATTCACAACATTGCATACTTGACAGAATGCAAATTTTTGGCCACATTTTGTGCGAACGATCATTCAGTGCCATGTTGATTTCTCAAAAAAATCGATATCTCTGGTTCTACTGGGCCTAACAAGTCCCTTAAAACGGGAAAATTTTCTTCAGCTGAAGCTAGTGTTAACTGGAAATTTGTTACTGACGCGCCGGTTATCCTCAGTTTATTTTTGTCACCATCAAGGTTTTGTTTACGCGCGTGCCGATAGTAACTTGTTCGTCGCACAACTAATTGTGCGTGAAATAAACTCGAGTTGGCATCATGTTTTCGTGTCACTTTGTGGTACTCTTAATACAATAAAATTCATCTGAGAGGTGGAAATGCAGGTAGGTGAGAATTTTCTTCAATTCAACCGCCAGTAGATTTCAAAATTGTCACATAACCTGCACCTCCCTATTACCTGCAGTGGCGCGTGTTTAAGGCCAAATCAACAGATTACCCGCAGGTAAACAGCCAGAAATTACAGTAAATGTATTGTCTTCCATAGGGTCAAGGCAAGAACTGTAAAAATTACATCTGATTTTACAAGGCATAATTCACTGAGAATTGAACTAACAAATTGCTCTCTTCAAAGACAAGATTTTTCTTTAACATTTCCATGATACATCAATCGTATCTTATAGTTTTTTCTCTGCTGGAAAAAGTTTCGATTTCTGTCATACATCTGTGAGCCAGTGAGAAGCCATGCATCCTGACTTTTGTGGGGTCAGAGCAAAAGCCAATGAAATTATTTCTATGGTTCTCATGAAAACAGTTCATTAATTAATAGTTTCTATGATAATCTGATCAAATCTACTTAATTCTTCTACAAGGGAAAGTTTTCTTTTGTGTGTGTGTGTTGCAGCACAGACAAGAAGCCATGGAGAAATGCATTTGAATGATTGTAGTGTCGCAGAAAAACTGAGAAAATTACATCTTGAATGGTTAGGCACAAAATGATCAGTTTTAAAGACATTTCATTCTTTAAAGTGTATATGACATGAAATTTTTTTTTTTCTTTTCTGCTAGTTCGATATATATAACAAACGGTTCGAGAGTTAAAAATCGTTGAAAATAATTGTAAACACATAGTTTTCGTTAAACTACGCGCTAAGTTGGCTTAAAATTTGTCCCCTCGAACGCGCGGCCAAAAGGTCACGTGAACTTAACCTGTGACGTCAGGTTGTTTGACTCTCATTAGACCACTTTCATAAATGGCTGCCGGATTAAAATTCTTTTGTTTACATATAAATTTGCCAGGGTGGCCTCGTTCTCCAGTACAAAATTCAAAAAAAATACATTATCTCAAGCGAGGCCACTCGGGCAAATTTAATATTAATCCGGCAGCCATTTATGAAAGTGGTCTATGGCGGAAAAGAAGAGGCCAGTACGGAAAGGTGGACGTTATATCCATATATCCATACTCTCTATAGAGTCAGACGACTCAATACTCTCGGAATCGCTGGACATTTCGAAGCGTGAAACGATAGAATTAAGCGAGTAATCACAGCGTGTTACAAGGAAAACACTGATATTTGTTGACCTTGCCAATCAAAGGATCAAACAACCTGACGTCACGAGTCCAACTCTCGCCCCAGTCTCCGGGAACAATTTTACACATAGATTTAGCATGTTTTGGGGGCTAAAAATCGACCAAAAAATTTGTTTCATTCATTTTAAAATCTCAAACCGTTTATTATACACATGGAACTAGCTATCAACGAAAAAAAAAATTTCGTGTCATATACACTTTAAGTATGATGCACTCAACAGTAATGCATTATTTGGTGAATGAGCCTTGATGCAATTTACCACCCAGCAAAAACTGTGTAAAGTTAACTGGTCACAACAGTAAATATACAAACACAGCCATATGAAACAAAAGACAATTGACAGATATTCAATGCAGTTTAACCAACAGTTTTCATTGCAAATACAATGCCCTTTGAAATATACCATGACCATACCACCAAAGAAAAAACGATCAGAGAGTTCATACATCAGGGTTCTCAATAGAATTTTGTATAGCCGTTGCTGTGCCACCTCCATGTATAACAGCTAAGTACATAGCCAAAGCTAAAGCTACGTATCTTAAGGCCCGTAGAGTCCCAATTCAAATCACAGCAGTCGTGTATTAGCATGTGGGAAGACAAAATCTCAATTGGAGAGGCCTGGGCTAGAACCTACAACGTTGCGGAGAAGTTGTGAAGCATAGCAATTGTTTGCTGACAGGCTGTTCGTTTTGAAAACTAAAACTGACTAACATTCAATACTAAACTCAATTATCTCTGCACAAAGGCATTCTTTTATTTGCATTTAATAGGCGTTGACAGCCGCAACACTTACCAGTGACACCCGTGACAGGTGTTACGGGTTACGGGTTCAATTCAAAACCCTGTACATACTTATTAGGCAGATGTGTTTACTGTTAGACCAACTGGTTGGCCTTTTAAGACTAGTTTACCTCTGTTACTAGTCTTGTACTAGTTTTTTTTGCATACATTTGGGTCTCCTATCTTTGAGCTGCATGTGTTATAATTAAAAAATGGCAAGAATAAATTAATTAAATACAATATAACAAATATTAGCCTATATTTGCATCTGCACAGGAGGTTTTGTCAAAGCCACTTCCTTCCTTGCTAAAAGAAAAACCCCTCACCTTTTCCCTAATTAGTCAGAAGACAGCAACTTTGGTTTTTAAATCACCTCATTTTGATTCGTTACACACTTATTTTGGGAAATACAAATGATTAGCAGTTATATGGCGTTTCCCTTTTTAACAGCCTTCATGGCCAGGTGTCTTCTTGAATTTTCCTGCTCTCTCTGTCCCCTTCACTCTACGTGAAACAAGGCTTGTTGAATAAACTCTCGTGAGCTTGTAACATTAACTACCCCTAGTATGATGCCTATGCTGTGGGCTAGTCTCACTACATTCAGACTGTAATCTAAAAGCCATGAACTTTTCGACAAATTATATTACTCAAAAGTTTCTAACACAAGCCTGCGTTAGCTAAGAAATAATTAAAATGTTACAGTAACTATGGTAAACAAGAAAACATAATGGGCAAACATAATTCATGAGCTAGACATCATTCTGTATAAGAAAAGAAATGTAAACAGCTCTTTTCAGCAGAAATACATTTGGAGAGTTCTTCCCAATAATTCTACCAAAAGAGAAGTTTTTAGTGTGAGAGCTACCTTTTTACATGTCAGTGTGCATCTTAAGGTGCATGAACACAGTTTTTGGGCGCGCTTTTGCTAACGCAATTCAGTGCACGCACAGGGATTGCAAAAAACAAACATGCTGTCAATTAGAGTGGTCATTATTTTTATTTACTCAACACGTACTCGCACTATCTGTGCTATTTTTCATTATGGCGCAGTGTATTAAGGGTTTTAATCTTTAATTACAAAGATATGTTAGAAAAGTCAATGGTGCAAAGAACCCAGCAATTCTCAGCTTTTTTGTCATTACTGAAAGAACCCAGTTAAATGCAGCGTAGTAAGTAAAAAAATTGCGACTGAATGCAAAATTGCTTTCTCGGAAATATGCCTATTTCTTGAGAACCACTCATTAGAATTTCACGAAATTTGGCACGAAAATACTTTAGGAAATGAGTAACTGGTGTATTGAAAAAAAATTGATTTTAAACTAAGGAATTGTAGAAAATCGACTGAACCTTCAACAAGGGATGATTAAAGATCTCTCTGTTAAACTGTTAGCAAAATGGTGTTAACTTGTAAGTATCATTACAAGCTCGTTGCATGCAAATTATAAAGAAGTTCTACTGACTAGATTTTCTACAAAGAAACAACACCGATTTTAATTGCCTGTTTATGTCTATTCACGTTGCCAAGGCAATGGCACGTACGTCAGCTTAACCCTTATCGTGCGGCTCCCGGAATATTCCGGGCGCACGTGTTCGTCCATGTGGACGGGTCCCGGAATATTCCGGGTTTCCGAACATCATCGTTTTATTGGCGGAGAAGTTCAGAATATGTTGGGCTTATATTGGTTTATGGTCATGGGCCAACTCAAGGGACATAAATTAAGCATCCGACAGAGTTCCGAAGACCCGAGTAGAGTAAAAGAGTTAATTAGCATGAAATATATTTTGTTGCGCGGTAACACTGATAAACAAAGATGGCGGCCAATATTGTATTTGTTGATGAAGGAACTAATGATGAAGTTGTAGGCGGAGAGGATAGCGATTTAGATGAAAATACGGATAATTCTGAAAGCAGTGAAGAAGAAGATGACAGAAGAGAAGAAGACAGTGATGGCGAGGCGGACAGCGAAGAAGAAACCGAAGAAGACAACTGGGTCCTTGGCGATCGCATCCCGCGAAGGCTTGACTTCACAGCTGATCGAGGGTTGAATGTGGAGCTTCCTAACAATCCATCATTCTCTGACTACTTTCATCTCCTCTTCCCCGAAAACCTATTCAACGAGATTGCATCCCAAACAAATAAATATGCTACGGAAACAATCGCATCTTTACAGCGAAGAGGTCGTTTACCTCAGCACTCGAGATTTAGAAATTGGCCTGAGGATGGTGTGACAGCTGGTGAGATAAAAGCTTTTCTTGCCATGATCATTGCAATGGGCCTGGTGAATCAAGAGAATATCCAGGATTACTGGTCCATCGACGAGGTTTTATCAACTCCCTTTTTCCCTCAAATTATGTCAAGAGACAAATTTATGAACATTTTAACATTTTTTCACTTGTGTGATAATGATGATTATGTTCCTCGAGGACAGGAAGGGTATGACCCAATAAAAAAGCTTGGCACTATATACAGCGTTGTCACTGGGAAATTTTCAGATGTCTGGAAGCCAGGCAAAAATATTTGCATTGATGAGGGAATGATTCCATTCAGAGGAAAGGTGCATTTCAAAGTGTATAATCCTGACAAGCCAGATAAGTATGGTGTTAAGTCATACCAGTTGTGTGACTCAAGTAATGGATATTGTTGTAGGTTAAAAGTTTATTGTAATAGAATAATCAGAAAGGCAATTTCTTAAGCTTTAATTTGATATATAGGTTGTTGGGATTTGATGAAATGTAAAGCTTGCACTGCTGATGAAAGGATCAACTGTCGTGTATAAGTGTGTTACTAAAAATAAAGTCAGTTTAGGGGATTGTAACCTGAACTCGAACTCAGCATGATAAGGGTTAACTATCAAAAAAACAAAGTTTGTGTTGTTAACTTGCTTGCTGCCAGTTTTGGCGACCGAGAGACCAAGGGTTTTAGAGAAAATGGTGAAAGAAACAAAGGTATCAAAAACTGTGTTCAGCCACCTTAACTGCCTTTATCTTTTTGGTTATTTGAAAGACGAAAAAAAAAATTTATTGAAAAAAAAATGAGATATACTTACTCCGATGCCAAGTTTTCTGCTTTACTTTCCTGAAAAATATGATGGGTATGATTAAAACCCTGTAAAATTAAACCCCTGTAAAAATTTCAACTCAGCAACTCAGCTTTTTCCAAGAAAGCAAAGAACAGAAAGCGCACAAAACTACATTCAGTTTTTAAATCAAAGAATACCTAGGGCCAACTTGTGGATAAAGTAATCTAGAAATAAAACATGTTTATCAACTTGCTTATTAGTGGTCCTGTAGCATGCAAGGTTGCTCTTATCTAACAAAGCCAATGCTTTATTACACACATATTACAAACACATACCTGGGGGGAATTTGGGAATTTTAATTGTTAAATGTTTGGACTTCTCTACCAGTTCCAGGGAAAATACATATTGAAAGCTTTCTCCTTATTATTACAACCACAAGTGTTTTGCTCTTCTCCTATCTACTTAGGAAACATCATAGGAGCTTCGTCAGTATGAAATCTTTTGCTCACTTTCTGACAAATGTTGTGGTTAATGACTTTGACATGAAAAACAAAAACTTGAGCCAGTATGTTCTTGGAGTCTCAAAATATTTTTTTTTACTTTGAAATACATTATCTAATAGGACAACACCTATTAGTTTTATCAAAACTTGCATTGTACATATTAAAGAGACTGAAAGAACTCCAAAAAAGTCTTGAGGTTTTTTCGGTCTCTAGACACCGAATATTGTTGGTTGTGATAGTTTTGTTACTGGGAAGGTTATTTTACACTAAATGAGTTTAGAGTCTGACTAGTTTCTAAGTCTAAAAGAGAAGCCAACATTTGCTTTAATTCTAAAAGTTGCTAGTTATATGATTATTGCAAATAACATCACCAATGATTAAAGTAATGTTGCAGGGGCTTTCATATTGAGTTTTAAAGTATTAAGAATTTAAATTAACTTGGAACCCAAAAAGAAAAATACTACCACAGCAACACTACTTCTTGATACTCCTTAACTATGCTTGAACTCCTTTTTAATAAAGACCATTTTCATGTTTTCTGAAGCAGCTGACATTCTTGGATAGGTACCTTTCACCCAACACAAAACATGTTCACCAGGGGCATTTCTTTTTCATCAAGAGCCAAGTCTGACACAAAGCAAGTTGAACAATTTCCCACAGTGTAACTAAATATAATGTATTCTGAAATATTATTAATAGGAGTAGTCTTAAGATGTTACCTGTCCTGGGGCATCCACATGGTAAATAACAAAGCGATCCAATAGGTGGACAATATCTTCATGTTGGAAGAACCTTTCAAAGCATGTTTTATCTGAAAATGTCAATTTTTGTTTAAAACTGTAACATATTGCAGATATATGTTAGATACACTGCTGTATCCATGGTAGATTTTCAATCAATATCATATCTCAACAATTATCATTTGTAGCTTGTTGATCATCTTGAATATTTCATATTACACCCTTGATTGCACATAAAAAACACACAATATCTGCTTTCATAAATATAATGTTTGAAATTGCAATGTACACCTCCATCGTCCCTTTCCTGTGAAGTACACCAGCTCCCTTATCATTCATGAGGAGCATTGTGCAAAAATTTAGTTTCGCATCTTAGCATACTATTTTAAGACAACTATTTTGCCACGAAACTGAGTGTACATTAACGAAAACACTTAATGCACAATTCCAATACAATTAGACGTTATCACCATTAAAAGTATTTCTGTCCTGGGTTTAAGCACAATATCTTCATGATTAGTATCAAATCCGTTTATTTTGAAGAGTGTATGTGCTTCCAACACACCTTCCAACACACCTCCATTTATGGAAATAAACAAACGGAGTGTCAAGTTTTACATTAAGTTCTTGGCAAAAAAAAAGGCAGAAAAGTTCATGGGCTCAAAATCAGACCATCCACTACATTATAATTTGGATATATCAACAAAAGTTGAAATGGTAAATTGGCCACCGTAATGATTCATCCACTACATTACATACATAATACCAGTTATACTTAAGTCAAGTCTGCAAAGCAGCCACGAAACAGAGGTAGGATAAGAAAAACCTAGTTGCCACGCCACAGCCCTTTCCCGACAAAACACCTTTCGAAGTACATTTCAATCTCGACAATTAACAATTAAGTTTAAAAATCCAAAAAAGTTGTGCTCGACTGTCTCCAATAAAAGTCCTAAATTATTTTGCCTCGAGAGCGACAACAACAACACGAGCAAGGTGGTTTTCTTCCCGTTGTGTTGTTCATCAAAGCAAAACATGACTCATCTTATGGACATTTCTTCAGCGTAACAAGACTTACGGTTCATTCCGACATCATGAAATGTTATCATAACCTCCTTTCTCTTGATGTTTTCCTTCTCGTCTTTTTTATCTTTGGAATCTTCGCCCTGAGAAGCAAACCACTGTAAGCTTGAGCTCAATTTATTAGCAGAGAAGAATCGAGGCTATATGTATACTTGAATTATAACGTATAAGAATGGTACACTGCTCCCGATCGAAAATACAGAGTCTATGTTATGCTTTTAGACTTAAAAAAGCCTTAAAAACGCCATTATACAACGCAAAAACAAAACGTACCACGACATAAATGGTTAAGTCGCCAACTTTCTCCACCTACAAAACAGATCATTTAGGAAAGACGTGAGGACAACAAAACACCGTGCAAACAGTAGATGACTAGAAATCGAGGCGAAAAATACCCTTTCAGTATTTGGAATTCCGTCTGCCATCTTCTAACGAAAGCAAGCTTAATAAAGAGCTTGAAAACAAGAAAATCGATAACACCTCTTCTATCACGCGCAAAATGCAAACAGTCAGGCGAGGCAGTTCAAAGATCAAGTGACAAATGTGAAAGTGAGCGTGTTTGTGCCGATGCGCCCAGAAGCCCCTTGTGACATTTTCACCAATCATAGTACAGAGCGACTTTTGAGGAACAGCTGACCAATCAACATTATTTTTTGAGACGTCACGCAACGCTCGCCCTAACAGATAGGTTTCCCTCGGGGGGAAGGGAGTGTTTCGTGACTTACCAAAACGCACCGGTAGACTTGACGTGGATTTGCCAACTAGAAGTCCAGTCCTGTTGATGACTTCTCTCTTCTAGCTTGCGGGGGAGAGTGAGTAGGCTGTTTGTCAGATCTTATAGTGTAATAACATCTAACGTAAATTTGTCATATATCTGGCTGTATTTGTCATATAGAAGTGGGCAAAGATTTTAAGATATGTCACCCAAACTTCTTGGTTTCAGTACACAAAAGGTAGCCAAATATAAATTTAAGAAGTTAGATTTTCAGTTGTTTTTTCTTTTGAATCTCTTCTGATTGCACTTTGGCCAAGTACATTATAGAGGGTCTCAATAGAGGGGGGGCCGGAGGGGAGTCACGTTAACTGACACTTGACGGTTAAAAATGAGACCTTTTGTCAGTGACGCTATATCGAAGGCGTTCGTCGAGGGTCGAACACACAAGTTTGTAGTACAGCGGTTAAATTTGAAATATGTCGTGTAAGCTGTAGCACGTGTTCCCCACGAAAAGTTCAAACCCGAAATGCATAAGGGGCCGACCACATAACTTTTGAGGGGGTGGGGATGGGTGGGTGATTTCTGGTCATCAAGTAATTTTTTTTCTAGCAATCTGCTGTGCAGGATATTTTTCCGTTCTAAATGCTCTTTTTCTTCTGTTACATTTGGGCTGCATGCAATTTTTTTTCTTCCAACAAGCGCTTGCAGGAAATTTTTTTCAAAATCATCCCCCTCCCCTTTAAGAGTTAAATGGTCGGCCCCTAAGATCGTACTGAACAAAGGATGAAGATATACAAAAACGAATGAAAATGTTTTCAGTATGTTTGAGCTATTTACAAGGTTATCAATGCGCCAATAAACCTAACAGTAACGTTTGAATTTTGGACGGTAACTTCGACTCTTAAAAGTAAATTTTGAGGGAGATTCTCCTTTCAGCGTTGAGTCAATTTTTCACTTACGTAATGCGAAAAACTTGTCAACACTCTAGCGTCAAATAATTCGTGAAATAACGGGAATTTCAGGAATTGTACACAGCCTAGCTTTGTCTTAACCCAGTCCCACACTGGGAAGAATATATTCTCCACCATCAATTTACGTCACTAATCCGCAACGATGTTGTGAAATTAACAAGGGCAGACAAAGTAGCTAGAGAGAGTCTGAGAAATCCACTTTGATGCAACCTGCGTGGAAGTACTGCCCACAACTGTCGCATCCCAGCCAATCTTCCCCATCGTCGTCATGGACGATGGGGAAATTGTTTATGCAGACGTTGATATTTCTCCTACAGCGGACGGAAGAAGTCTTTCATTATCATTCACTTAAATATGTCTTCTTTTTTACTGGGTCAGGTCTCATACTTTGACTCTTAACTCTATATCAGGATCAAACCCAATCAGCTTGGCAAGATTAAAGGATAGGCAGTTTGGAAACAAGCTGTGACTTAGGTTACCTACTTGTGGATGTCATCGTAACAACAGCCAAACACCATAGACGTTATTAGTACACGTTCGGTTGCTATGTGGAAAGCTGCATCTACGGAGGACTCTTCGCACAAACATCTAGCAAACTGAAAGAAACGATTGAAAACAACAATCAGTCATTGGGAAAATTGAGTGAAGAATATGCAATATTCCGTTAAATTCCTTTTAAGGCAGAAATAATTGGTTGCTAAGGTATATTAATCGAATGCACTTTCTTCGTAGTTACCTTGTGAGGGTAAGTAATTCGTACCTTAACACCTCATGATTTAATGAGAATAGTGACTTCTGTATTAAACTTGAAAACTAAATGTCGCGTGTGGGTGCAGAGCGAGTTAGCTACTTACATGAGACAAATGAGAATTCCGCACTTGTACCCATCCTTCTGTTTAAAGTGCACCAGCTCGATGCAAGGCCCAGATAGAGAAAGCCAGCCCGTTTTGGCGTCAGCGACTTCACTACAAATATAATGACAGGCAACTAAAGGGTTACTTTATTCTCAAAGTGACTGCCGTTTTAAATTGAAGGAACAGCTTTTTTCACTTACGACTTAATAATTTTAGACTTGTTATAAGCAGTGAAAGTAGACATTGCATGCCTATCATGTTCGCTCTTCTGTTGGCAGAACAGGGCAAGTCAATAAGTCATGTCTACAGTACTTAGTCGCTACTAGATAAATAGGGTTTATTACTGCGAGGAACGCTTTCGTAATTTTATGAAACCGCAGTACACATATTCAACATAATGATCTGCTCCCAGCTGGCTTGTTAGCTCAGTTTGTAGAGCACTGCACCGGTATCGCAGAGGTCATAGGTTCAACTCCTGTACGGACCTAAAATTTTTCCAGGCCTTATTTCCACCTACTAGATAAGTAGGGTTTATTATTGCGAAGAACGCTTTCATACATTTTATGAAAGCGCAGTACTAGTACACATATATTGTTTTCTTATATTTACTGAGTCGTCGCCATCATTACCCCTAGTGTCTTAGTCAAAAATTGTCTTCGGTTTTTAAATGTCATCCTTTCGCGGGATTTCGCAATATTCGCGGGTTTTATAATTTTCCCGCTGACCAAAATTACTGTTTACTCTTACCCTCGACGAACGCCTTTGATCTAGCGTCACCCTTGACAGTTGACGGCTGAATTTTTAGGTCATTTGACGGTTAAGGCTTTTTTCAATGTCGTTTATAAAACAAACTAAGTACGAGAATTTGGCTGTAATTTTTTATAAAGACTCGTTTGTAAAGAACTGTTAATTCATAACTGTGAAATGTTCAGCAGGCAACCGTGGATGATACTCCTACTCTTGTACGTTGGATCAGCGATGATCTGATCGGCCCAAAATAATGAATATGAAATATGAATATAGAGGCAAGACCGATACAACGTAGACAAGTAAATTTTAAGACGGAGCACTATATTTCGGCTGGCCAAACCAGCCTTCTTCAGGTGCAGTGGGAATTAACAGAAAATTGGGGTGATGCTTCATAGTTAGCTGTATGATGTAACAGCGGAAATATGTAGAACTAATTTGATTGACAATGAGATAACAATAAAAATAGAAATAGAGAGCAAAAATAGAAATGAATTAAGGTAAATTGGATAAATAACTAGAAACTAATACATTTCTTCGCGAGCGTTAAGGCCATCTGGATAAATAGTGTTGCCTCTTGAAATTAAAAAAGCATCCCTGGCCTTGCGTATCGAGTCTCTCTTGGAAAACACTTTTTCGATGGCGATTAGCTCCATGTCGTGAGCAGAGTGGTTAGGATAGGAAATGAAGTGTTCTGCCGCTGTAGTAGGTTTAGATTTAGAGTTAGGTTTATAAATGATACGGCGGTGTTCATTAAAACGGTCTTTTAAACGTCGTTTAGTTTCTCCTATGTATTGTAAGTTACAGCGGTTACACTGAATTAAGTAGATAAGGTTTTTAGTGTCACAGGTCAAGTGAGATTTAATGGGACGTGTTTCGCCGGTAGAAAAAAAGGTATAGTTAGTAAGACCGTCAGAGATGTAGGGGCAAGTAGCGCAGTTTCTACCACAACGGAAAGAGCCGGGGGGGAGTTGAGGATGGGAAGTGGTAGAATTAGAGGGGAGTTTGGCTGTTACTAATGTGTCGCGAAGGTTGGGGGAGCGTCTGAAGGCGACAACTGGCAGTTGAGGAAAAGCTTTTTTGCAGCGGTTAGAAGACTGCAGTAGATGCCAGTGTTTTCATCCCTCTGCACCAATATCCCACATAACGAAGGTATTAATGCTTGTGACCATTTTCTGTGTACCTCCTCCAATACCCCTATTCCTACCGTCACACTTTGTGACCTCATTCGTATGGTTCTTACCATGAACAATTTTACTTTTAATGATGCTCATTACCTCCAAGTTCACGGCACAGCCATGGGTACCAAAATGGCCCTTCTTTCGCTAACCTTTCTTTCTTGGTCTTTTCGAACCTAACGCTTTGAAAAATGCCCCATGTAAACCCCACACTTGGTTTAGATACTAAAAGATATTGGTATTCGTTTAAGTTCTTGAAGCACAGGTGTACTGTTAGCCTCTGTTCAGAATTATTCCGATCAGACATAGTGCGTATCTGGGGAAATATTGACTGACCATCCATATGACTCCGTCGTTGCAGCGGGCAGGATTACAAAACACAGTATTGTCACCTGAGGTCGCTTAAAAGAAATCTGTGAAAACGCCGACGAAGTGAAGAACCTTGCTTCCAGGATCTCTCTTCCTCTAGGCCAATCATATAGGAATGGGATGTCGAGCATGTCTTGTATCCAGACTTCGCAGCTTCCCAGCCATGTAAGCCCCTTCCCAATTTTCCTCTGGAGGGTAAGGTGCGGCTGTACTCAGGTTATCGCCGGTGGTTTCCGTCTATTTTGTATCCATAGGCTCCAGTTACAGTCAAAGAAGATACGCCTTAAAAGTTAGAAAGTTCAAGCGCAAAGCTCTGATCATGTGCTAGATGTTCACATAAAATCAAACTCAGAATCCGTTAGAACCTCCCAACCCTTTACACCCAAATTTCAATGTGCGCATTCTCCATGCTGTTTTCCATACAGAACTCACATTTTCTTAGGTGCTGACAAGGAGAATTTATTTTAAAATTACGATCTTCTTTCGGTTGGTGATCATATTTCATTAATTTTGTGATTTGATTCATCTTTCAAGCTCTTCAAACTTTCGGCGTGCTTTGTATATCAATAAATAATTTGGATATATCAATAAAGTTAAAATGGTAAATTGGCCACCGTAGGTAACGACTACAAAAGCTGACGTTTCGAGCGTTAGCCCTTCGTCGGAGCGAATAGAGGAATTGTGGGTTGTGTGTGCTTTTAAAGGCAGAAAATGGAGCTACGTTATTGGTGGGAACATGGCAACGAGAAAAACAAGAATAAATTAGTGGAATGAAAAGCGTTCGTTGATCCCTGTGGGATTTAGACTGCCGGTTTGAAAGATGAGCTTTTGTTCAAGATTTTTACGGCTTTCCGTGCTACCTAAGTGTAAGGAAAGACCGCAGATTGCCATATGTTGCTTAGAATGATTAGGTAAATTAAAATGTCTAGCGACTGGTTTCGATGTGTCCTTGTCATTCCTTTCCACGTCTCGAAGGTGTTCTCGGAATCGGTCACCTAGTCTTCTGCCTGTTTCGCCGATGTATATCTTTTTGCAATAAGTGCAAGTTATGCAATAGATTACATTGGCGGAGGTGCAATAGCTTTTTTGGTATGTAATGGATGGCAAGAAGAGTGCAATAGATACATATGTTTGTCTGTGGGTTTGGTGTAGAGGTCAGTGGAGATATTACCGTCGAAAATTTTTAGGTTATCTAAACCTTCGGTCCAGACCATAAAGATATCGTCGAAGTATCTAAACCAAGTGTGGGGTTTACATGGGGCATTTTTCAAAGCGTTAGGTTCGAAAAGACCAAGAAAGAAAGGTTAGCGAAAGAAGGGCCATTTTGGTACCCATGGCTGTGCCGTGAACTTGGAGGTAATGAGCATCATTAAAAGTAAAATTTTTCATGGTAAGAACCATACGAATGAGGTCACAAAGTGTGACGGCAGGAATAGGGGTATTGGAGGAGGTACACAGAAAATGGTCACAAGCATTAATACCTTCGTTATGTGGGATATTGGTGTAGAGGGATGAAACATCAAGTGTAACTAGTAAAGAAACAGGGGGCAAATTACCAATGTAAACCAGTTTGTTGAGGAAGTCTTTGGTGTCTTTGATATAAGATGGTAGTTTGTGAACGAGTGGTTGGAGGTAGTTGTCAACAAACTGGGATATCCGTTCAGTGGGGTGGCTATTGGATGAGACAATAGGGCGTCCTGGATTACCGGGTTTGTGTATTTTGGGTAAGATGTAAAATCGTCCTGGTCTTACGTCAGTCTGTAAGAGGTATTGTTTTGTTGTTTCGTTGATGACCTTTTCTAATAAATGACAAACGTTTTTACTACACCGGAAGTGTTTCCACACCGGAAGTCACTTCTGTCGCGACCAGGCGGTGTGCACACTCTGATTTATTTATTTATTTATTTATTCGCACTATTTCAAGAGGTTACAGTAGAGATTGCTATAGATTACAAGAGTCAGAATATATAAGAACAGTAAATTACATGAATAATCTAAAGTAAAATGTGCACAGTGATCAAAGGAGCGTAAGCTTTCGAGTTGGCCACTGTCGCGTGTAATTAACTGGTGTATCTTAACATTTGCACAAGACTTACTTTACTTTAATTCTATATTTACACTAACCAAGGTATTCGTACACTATTAATATTGTAAACAATGAGAAAAGAGAAATAAGTACAAAATAACTAAATAAAAATTAAAAAAGAATGAGGAAAAATTAAGAAAGAATGAGGCGATTAATGCTAATTATGTAGGGTGAATAAAGTGAGGTAAGATTTGTCATTTCCTACGGTTTAGGAGCAAGACAGCTAAATTATTTTATCTAGCATCAAACCAGTAGTGAATTCAACTTTGACCAACCAAAAGATAACGCTTCCATTCTTTTTTAAAGGAAGTAAAAGAGAGACGCTTAATTTCAAGCAGCACAGATTCCCATATCTTGAGTCCAGCATACTTGAAAGACATTTTGCCAGAGTTAGTTCATATTTGCATTCTAAAAAAATTGAAATCATTTGTGAATCTTGTATTATATCATGTATGCTAGATGCTGGGGTTAGGACATCAGATATGATATCTGGAATGCTATCAGCTTTATTTACAATTTCATGTATAAGGCAGCACAATTTGAGTTTATATATGTTTTCTAGTTTAAGAATTTCTAAAAGTTTATAGTATGGATCAGGACACTCCCTAGTATGTGCAAAGAAGATTCTTCGGAGGCATTTGTTCTGATTAACTTGGAGGTAATTCAATTTAGTTTTATTAGCACAGCCCATACTATTATACCATAATCTACAGTCGAATTTAATTCAGACGAATTTATTAAATTCGTCGTTCCTTCGACGTAAATCGTGGCGTGGTTTTATGCGTCGAAATCAATACGATCGAATTTAATTCTTTTCCCAAATGCAGTGCCTCTGGTCAGAGGTGTCATTTTGAAATAAACGTTACTGAAATACATTAAGAAAATGTATGCATTTCATTCGACGCGACGCTATTGCGACGTTAAAACTGAAGACGCGTTATCGATATTTTACTGATCCGTCTTACCAAGACGGATAAAACGTCAAGGACTAATTTAATTTACCAGATGAATTTAATTCGTTTTAGACGTCGCGCTATCGTCGAATTTAATTGCTTGTGGGACCTTGAATTAAATTCGACTGTAGCGCGACGTATAAACTAGGCCTAAAAGATCGTCTTCATCAACGTCACCGTCGCACGTGGTGTTGTCGCTTTCATTGTGGGCAGTTTTCTGCCGCTTGCTAGTGTCGGCTAGCAGGCCATCTGCATCCGACGATTGCCCTGGTTCAGGGCTATACGTCGTTTGGGATTTTCGCTTGTTGGCAGGTTCTGCCGTTTTGGGGGTCGAAGTTTCCCCATCATGTATCCGCTTGATCGATTCGCCCATTGAGGCCATGTTTTTGTTTAGTTGCTGAAGGACGGCCAGAAGAGTCGAAGTTGACTCCATAGGTACCTCAGCGATTATATCAGAATCTTCACTTAATAACTCTCGTTCAGCGTCGTTATCCTCGTGTCCGCTCATTCTAGGAGAAAAAAAATTTTTGCGTCGTTCGACAACACGACTGACTCTCGAACTGATTGCTCAGGTTCCCGGGCTCTATCTCACGTGACTTACTAGTGACCTAGACCAATGAGGAAATAGAATCACCGCTTGTTACCGAAGCTCTTTGACGTGATTGGAAGCAAAAGTTAAGTACTGGCACATGGAGCTATTTGAAAGTTATCATGAACGTCTTATGCGTTAAGACTAACTAAAGAATGAGAAAATCGTGGAAAGAAACAAAACCCAAGGACAAATGTGAGGAGCGTGTTGGATCAGAAGATCACAGGCATGATTTCACCGGAGATGAAATCCAGCGAACTCGAGCCAAGCTGTTGACCTGGTACGACAAGAATCGCAGAAAGCTTCCCTGGAGAGATTTGGCGTCTCAGGCTGATCCAAACAGGCGTGCATATGCTGTGTGGGTCTCTGAAGTTATGCTGCAACAAACACAGGTCGCCACCGTAAAGGAGTATTACATTCGCTGGATGAAGAAATGGCCGACTGTTGAACATTTGTCGCGTGCGAGTTTGGAAGAAGTGAACGAGATGTGGTCGGGGCTTGGTTACTATTCGCGGGCAAAGAGACTCCACGATGGAGCTAAAAAGGTCAGATTCCATACAGATTTAACCTTTTTTCTTCAGACAAATTCAAGGTCAATGCAAGGTACCAGAGGCATACAACGCGCCTATATAGGTTGTATGCTTTAGTGGGAACTTAACAATCCGCGAATACTAACTAAATATTCGCGCCCAATGTTATGTAAGCTAGACGATATTTGCGGAACTCGAACTTCCCTGATGTGTTGGGGCCACCTCCTGGTATGTCTTGTTTTATATTTAGCGGTGGAAATTATGCGAACCCTTTCCTGATATCTTGTACTAATGTAGCGTACTCCTTGATCCGTTGATCATTAGCTTAAAGGTGTTAGCCAGAGTATTAGCACATCTTATCATAACTCTCAGTTAGTGCGTGCGCAATGATTGAAGTTCATTTATTTGTTTAAGCAGGTTGATTAATTGGCAGCTGTAATAGCTGATGTGGACCTGCTGTCCTAACCCACCCATCCCACCCCAGGGGAGGACATCCATCACACAGTAATCTCATGTGTGGGAAATTAACGTCTCCTGCCCCAACCCTGCAGGAGACGGGACCTCCATTTATTCGTCCCTATCCAAGAAGACTAGAATATCTAACCAGTTCTTGATGTTATAGAAAGGTAGCAAATTCTTCTCAATTATTTTAAGACCTGAGTGTTGGTCCGGCCGGAGCTCGAACCCTCGACCTCCCACACTACAGTCTAGCGCTTTATCCATTGAGCTAACTGGGAGGCAGTTAGCTCAATGGCAGATTAGCCAATTTAGCCGAAAGAAAACTTTTAAACGCATTTTAAGGAAAAGTGCAAAATATCTCACAAAATGGAATTGTGTGGCAAAAAGAAAAGTCAAATTCAAGAAGCCTATAAATCCTTAACACATCCACTGCACAAGGTGTGTAAAATAAAGTCAAATGACAGCCAAATAGATGCATGAAAATCAAACTAAAGACAATAAAGGCCGTGTTTTCATGAGTGATTTTTCAGGTCGCTCAGCGAGTGACAAGCGGAAGTCCCATGAAAACAGTTGTTTTTCCAACTTGCTTAAAGTTAAGCAAGTCGGCAAACTTCAGTGGAATTCTCATTAAATTTAAGCCACTAAACCAAGTAGCTTGAGCGAGTTGGTAATTAATTTCGCTCAATCAGGAGTTGTTTGCGGTTATTCATTTTACAGGGCTGTCAAGTCGGAAATACAACATGCGTGGTATTTTTATTCTCCCGTGAAGCTTCTGCGGCATTCAAAACAACATGGATAATCATAGAGCGAATAACTTTTCTTTTTATGATCGAAGAAGCTTCCCATATAATGATGCACTATCAAGTTATTCCTCCTGTGAGTGATCACTTTGTCAATCCCGTTCCCGCATGTGGTCCATATATATTTCCAGCCTTCCAAAATCAACTGTAGCTTCCACAAGCAAGATTTTCCCGACCAGATTGGCCGATCGAATCGCAAATGAGCCCATACCAGAGTGCCAGTGTAAGCAATGTACATGTAAGTGAAGGCCCCTCTGTCGGATGAAAGCTAACCGCATAAACACAGTAATAGGGACTTTAAGATCCACTACGGCGAGGCTCTGGTACGGCAAAAGTGTGAAAGATTACTTCCGGTGACGTCACTACTTACAGTTCGAGCAAGGTTTCCTGCCGTAGCACGGCTGTCTGATGCGGGAAACATGGCGAGTTGACGGAGTGTTCACTACGTGAGTAAACTATTGTATTTTTATCGGATCTTTTATCGTTAGAATGGAAAGGGGGCATAAAAACGTTAATTTGTACTATATTTTAAAATAATATGGGTTTTATGACGTTCTTTTAGCAAAAAAAACTTGCTGGAAGTGTTCCGAAAGATGGACAAGTCAGACAAGCACACATCGCAAGCATTGTAAGTTCGAAGTTGTTTTTACTTTTGCTCACTTCTAGTCTCTAAAACACTGACGTTTAGCGAAGTTCCATGCAACTTAGTGTAGAACGGGTGACTGCTGGAATATAGGCTGACTTGGTTTGAAAGAGAAAACTGTTTTTCTTTCGATTTTGTTCATTTTCTGTCGATTTAAGCTTAAGCTTACAGCTGAGTGAAATCACTTGACTTGGTTGTTGAGTTTGCCCCTCTTTCAGAGCTTTATGATGATAGGCAGTAT